TAGCAGAGGCGGTCAGCGTAGTTGGTAGTAAATGATCACAGCCGCAGATGATCCTCGTCCAGCTGGTCAGTACGAACGTCAAATGAGAGCACATCAAAGTCTGTTTATAGCTGTGGTTGTACATCGATCCTTTGTTTGAAAGAAAAAGATTATTGTGAGTCAGACGGTATTATAGGAGTGCAGTACTAAATAGGTGGAGTGTTCTTTTAGACTAACTTTATCTCAGTGCAGGCGCCAGTGGGTGAAATGTGTGTCCAGCTAGTTATTATCATATTAATTTCTGTGTCCTGACTTTGACTTGTATGTACGATGTGAGAGGTCAATCAATCTCTCGCTGGGCTGAATAGCTTATTCTTAATGCAGATTAATTCATTTAATCTTGTTATCAATGTAGTCACTAGATGAAGTTGGCTTCACAGTACCACCGCTCATTTCCCTCCTCTTTTCCCTCCTTTTTTAAAAAACATTTCCAATGAATTGTTACAGCTCTAATGTTATTTTATGTCATGAGGTGTCTTTTTGGTGATATAATGATATTAATAATAATCAGTAAGGTAGTAATTTGATGTTGTTCCATTGTAAAATCAGTCAGATGAAGATTGAGTTTGGTAGTGAAAATGTTTTTGGTTGGTTTTCAAGTTAAAATTAGTCATTTGTCATCACATTGCTGTGAGTGCCTTGTTGTTTGGATCGTGGCGGTGCAGCGAGGCCGGTGTGGCTGCAGGCTGTCTAGAATTAGCAGCCACTCTGTCGGTTGAGTTACAGCAGGAGCAGGAATGCCTGCAGTGGTAGGCGAGCTAGGCTACATGAGGGCCGCTTTGGCAGGGGGCCATGTTGTGCTAGTGAGAAGGCCTGCATGCTTGGATATATTAGCAGGGGTTTTGTAACCATTGTAATGAAGCGGCTGGGCTCCCGCGGCCCCTGAAAGGCCTTCCAGCACTGAATGATTTAGAGCCAAAAGGAGAGGAAGCAGTGCAGAGCCTGGCCTCCGTCACCGAGTGAAGAAACTACAGGACAAGTATGCCATTCACTGGTTTATTTACACTCCCCTTGTTTGTCAGCACACCCTGCTCCTTTCTGTTTTTTACATTTAACATACGCATTTGGCACACATGCTTGTATGGACACACACACACACGCTCAAGTAAAGACAAGTGGTTTTACAGGGGTAATCAGGGACAGCAGATTATTGTCTCCCTTCAAGGCTTATCAGACTGTGCTCAGTGTTTGTCTCTGTCTTTCTCACACAAACACATCCTCACATTGTTGTAGGCCAGGCGCCTAATATTGTTTCATTGGAGGACATTTCACATTATCAGACTATTGGCTCGAGTGACAATTTGGCTCAAGCTAGAGGATTATAGAAACATATATCAGGCATATTTGATAATGATCAGGTTGTCCCTCACACACACCCACCTCCTGCACCTGTCTGGTGCCAGTGCTGTGAAAAGCCCTCGTCGTAAATTCCTGGGCTTTGTTAAGAGGTGTCAGTGGCCGGGTGCCTGAGGAGGCCTGCAGGGTCAGGGAGGGCATGTGTGTGTATGAGTGTTTATGCATGCATATTTACATGCACTCTCTCTTTGTGTCACAGTAATATGTTGAGTGCATGTGTGTGTTGAAGTGTTGGGGGTGGACACAGTTTCTAGGCTCAGGTGTCACCCGGAGAAATGCAGACCTTTTTGCCCTTTGACCCAGGGACATGGCCCTGGAGGGTTGGGTGTCAAACCATTGCCCCTGAACCTCAGCTAGTGAGGTGTCATGTTACTCTCCTGGCTGCTGCCACAAGGCCAAAGCCTGCAGAGGACATAGCTGTGATGATGTGTTGTGTGTGTGTGTGTGTGTGTGTGTGTGTGTGTGTGTGTGTGTGTGTGTGTGTGTGTGTGTGTGGAGCAATAGTCATTAACTTTCTCAGAGGCAGATCTGCTCTCCAGGGCTAGTGGACGTTGCCCCAGTTCATGATGATTATCAAATAAATGGGACAACAGCTGGATCTTACATGTGGGAGAGTATCTGAGAGTATGAGATGAGATATTTGATATTTCCTGATCTATAACAGGAAACTTTTGATAACGCAGACTAAATTTCACTTAACTTAACTAACACATTAACACTTAGAAATAAACGCTGATGCATTGAGCAATTTGGCATATTTTGTGAGATGAAAGTATTGGGTTGGCACGAATTTCAAACAATATCCAACCAAAATCACAATATGGTAATGATCTGTGCTCTTCTGTTACTCCTTTTATGATTTTCTGATTATAATTTGCTCTGAGTCATTAAATTGGACTGCATAATTTGGATATGAGATCATATCAACATGATACAATTTCACTGCACCGAGAGCTGATAAATAATAATGTTCGGCTTTCACATTAATAAATAAATTACCAGTTTAAACTAGAAATTTAAGTTGTGATCCATTACAGTTTTGTAGCTTATTACATTTTACTCATGTCTACATTTTAAGAAATGAAGGAGAACTCAGAAATGGGTTAAACAGTTTTGTGGACAAGGCATTTCACTCCTCGAAACCTTGTTTTAGACCTGACCAGGGTCCTCTGTGTACCCGACCCCTCCCCAGATGTTGTTTGATGAGTTTGCACCTCCAGTGCCCTCCACCCATGTTCTGCCGTCTCAGAGCACCTCTGTGTCTATTACTGGCAGGAAGCTGTGACAGGGAGGGCTACTCAGCCAGCGTGTAAAGGAGGCTAAACATGGTTTGGTGAGGAATGTGAGAGAACAGCCGTGTTCATTTGTACATTCACCAGCCAGCTTGCCAGCCTTCCAGTCGACCATCCAGACCTCTGAGTGCCTGGACAAGGGGTGCCTTTGTCCCCCATCTGCCGGCTACACCCTGCCCTGCTCCTGCCCCCCATCTTACCCTTCTCTCCATCCTGTTGCACCTCCTCTGCCTCCCTCTTTTCAATCACGGGCCCTCACCCCAGAATAGCACAGCAGGTCCCCTCTCAAAATAGAGCTGGTGATGTTGGCAGGGTCAAGCTTTCTCTCTTCTTTCTACTTTATCTCTCTCGCTCTCTCTCTTACAGAATCACTCTTTTGTTTCAGATGTTTATTCAGAGAAAGTAATTAGCTGATAAAACAACAAAAGCTTTTATATTTGAGATGAGAACTCCAAAATCAATAAAAGTTCATGTCATGAATGTATTAAATGTCTAAATAGTTCATTAGCCCTTAGATTTAGTTTCTTGTTTACAATCTAGACCAGGTCTAAAAGCACTCATCAAAAGCCCTAGTGAAGGTAAATGTGGCCTGCCGTGGCCTTGTGGTCCAGCCTTAATCTTCCATGGATCCATGCAGTGAGGTATTCCCTGTAGTGTAAGTGTCAAAAAAAAAAAGGTTAGCCACGGAGGAAATCTCATTAAAAGAGCGATGAATGTAGAAAATAGCTGTTTTTCTGTTTGCGACAGGCTCAAGCTTCCCGTTGGGTAAGTAGCAGGATGCCCATAATTTGACAAATTCCACTTTAATGACACAAATCGGGGCCGGCTGCGTGCCAACTCTTTTTCTTTCTCTTCTCTTGCCAGATAGATTATTTGGTCATGGAAAATGACTGAAACAAGATGTGAACATAACACATGACAGCCTTTTAATGTTATATGGCAAACTTGTTGGCCAGAACTCAGATATATTTACACAACATTAGCATTCATTTGGAGTTGTGTTTCTGTCTCTCTGATGAATTGAAGTCCAGTGTTTGCTCTCCTTTTAGATCTGTTTTGGTCTCCACCAACTCCTGCTCAACGATTTGTCTGCTATTTGGTGCTGGGAACATAGCGAACATTGAGTTTATAGAGATTTTATGCTCCTTGCTGCGGCTTAAATTTACGTGGAGAGAGCAGTGAACATGAAAACGCTAAAGTTGCAAAACAATGAGCTAAAAGACACTAAAAAGTTCTGGGTAAGTCTGCTGATAAATCTCTGTGGGTTTGTCAGTACGAGTGACACCTTTCACATAACACATAGTTATCTGATTCATTGTTAACGTAAAATATATTGATTATAAACGCTTTAGATTAATAGGGCTGCCACAGAAAAGCTCTTGTTGGATAAGCGACCTGTTGAAAAGACAATAAAACCTAAAGCCACGGCTCGTCCTGTAGACTAAACAATGGTTGTCGCTCCTGCGTAGAACTCTAGACCCTAAAATTTCATGTTGTAGACATCTAGTTAGGTGAGAACTGCCTACAAGGTCCAATCCAAATGGATATTTTTCAACTTGAATAATGACTGAGTAACACTAGCTCAGCCCTGAAGCAGTTGGTGTCTCTAGACACACATTTCCCTACTTATAGACCAGTGTTTTTCCTGGAGCTGCAGCTAAAGACATTCCACTTCAATTTCCCTGGTGTTTGATTGAATGAAGCCCACTTTAAGCAGAGCAACCTCATGGAAACTCTTTGAGAACAATCAAATTTTTGATATTGGCGGCATTTCAGCAACCTCATTCTTTTAAACTGTAAATTATCTAAATCGCTGTCTAGGTTTACATATATAGACTGTAACTGTATTATATAGTGCTGAAGTGTTTATGAAGTGCTGCCTGCTGAATGTATCTCTGTGAGTGGATTACTGGGTTGCATGTAAACCTAATCACTTGATGATGTGCCATGAAGGTGTAGTGCTTTTCTGGGAGACTGTAAATTATGGCTCATGCTCACTTTGCCTTTGGTTTTAGTCTTTTCTTTCCCGTCTGCCTTCACTGGACATCTGAACATTACTTGTAATGATGGGAGTAAGGTGGATTGTCTTGTCAAACCAGCGATTACACTGACGTTAAGAACTTGTGACTGGTGGTACCCATTTGTTCATGAGAGTAATCCCACAATTGCTTTCTAAATATTAAATAAGAATTTGGCAGTTAAAAATGTTTAAACTTTTCCACAAAGTGTCAACCAAAGAAAAGTCTAAATTCAAAATGTGTCAGGCTCCCCTTTTTAATCCGTTTTTCTCTTGCCCTGTTATTTCCTCTGTAGATGGTCCTGACCTGCCCAATGCCGTCAGCTCTCCTCCATCCAGCCCGAACCCGGCCAAGAAGAGCAGCTCCATCAACTGGTCCTTCCCAGACAAGATCAAGTCCCCGCGCACTGTAAGGAAGATCTCCATGAAAATGAAGAAGCTTCCGGAGCTTAGCCGGAAACTCAGTGTCAAGGGGACACCGAGTAGCAGTAACAGCAACAATGGAAGTCAGTTAGAGCCTAGAGCCCATTCTCCGCGAAACAACGGGAGTGGGTCGGAGGTGGCCCCCCATTCCTCAGGCCCTCCCAGATTAGCTGCATCTGGGGGTGGGCAGGCCAGCCGCAATGTGATCTCACGCTACCACCTGGACAGCAGTGTGTCCACACAGCACAGCTTCAGCAAGAAGAAAAGTAACGGCAGCTCTAAGTCAGCCAGTAAAGGTGGCTACCTCAGTGATGGTGACTCACCTGAGCTGGTGGCCAAGTCTGGGAAGCATGGCTCTGCGGAGGGGAAGGGAGGGAAAGGCAAGGAGACGGAAGGAGGAGGCGGAAGCTCCAAACTCAATGGCACAGAGCTGGACATTGATGCTTTCAGGCATTACAGCTTCACAGAGCAGCCAAAGTGCAGCCAGTACATCTCGGGACTGATGAGCCTGCACTTTTATGGTGCTGAGGACCTCAAACCTCCACGCGTTGACTCTCGTGACGTCTATTGTGCCATCCAAGTGGACTCAGTTAATAAAGCACGAACCGCTCTCCTCACATGTCGAACTACCTTCCTAGATATGGACCACACCTTCAACATTGAGCTGGAGAACGCCCAGCACCTGAAGCTGGTGGTGTTCAGCTGGGAGCCCACGCCGAGACGCAACCGTGTCTGCTGCCACGGTACGGTGGTTCTGCCAGCGCTCTTCCGGGTAACACGCTGCCACCAGCTGGCGGTGAAGCTGGAGCCTCGAGGGCTGATCTATGTCAAGCTGAGCCTGATGGAGCAGTGGCAGAACTCGCTGGATGGTGGGCCAGATGGAGACAGGGAGCCCCAGGTGTTTGGCGTGGAGGCGTGGCGGGTGGTGGAGAGGGAGAACACAGGACTGATGGTGCCGCTGCTCATAAGCAAGTGCATCAATGAGATCGAAAAGAGAGGCTGCCAGGTGAGTCTGTGGATGGTTTGACTTTGAGAAATAAAGGTTCTCCTGCTGTTCTCCTGCTGTTGGCGAGTTATGCTGCAGGTTTTATTTTCCTGATGAGTAGGTTATTTGTTTGTTTAGGCCAAAAAATGTCAGAAAATAACATCCTCAGATTGATCTTTTTTCAGACTCATACTCTAAAACCCAGTTTAGAATTATATAAAGCAGAAAAACAACAAGCCCTCATATTTGAGAAGCTGCTATAAGGAAATATTTAGAATGTTTTGTCCTTTATAAATTTTCAGTTTCGTGATTCTTAAATTAAATCAGTAAAAGTTAAATTAATGGATTTAAATACTTTCCCAAAGCTAAACAGTAAATCTTCAAATATTGTATTGTATTAGTCCAAAGATTTTAAATTTACAATGAAATAAAACAGATAAAAGGAACAAATCAAGCAGTTTTAAAACAAACAATTAATTAATTATAGAAATAGTTGCCAATTACCTTTCTACGGTCTCTATGAGATACATATATATATTTGGGGTCACATATATACACAGTGCATGTGGATGGAAACCATTCAAATCCTATTATGTCAATGGAAAACAGATGGGGATTCATTTGAAAAGAAGGCTGGTAGGATACAATTATATAATGCGTTTTGAGTGAGTGTGAGAATAGGGAGAGAAAATAATCCCACATTCATAGCATCCTTTTAGCTCAGTATGCCGTGAGAGGAGTGCTCGCCCTGCAGCCAGTTATAATACTGGATGACTGGCATGAGCAGAATGGATAGAAGAGATGTACCGCACTTCATGATGTCTCTGAGCCTTCCTGGGGCGACTGGCTCTTTTATTCAGAGAGGAGAAAGACTCCGAGTTAAGAGACTGGCGTGGTGGCGACGATGGTGGAGTGGATCATGTGATCATCTCTTGTTTTGTCCCCCCCTCCACATTTCATGTGCTCTTTGAAGCCCAGAGAGGAGAGAGAGAGAGGCGGCGGAGGTTCTCCTAATTAGAGCTGAGACAGCGGCAGTAAAAGTGTCTGGCCACTGTTCCTGACTGATCACTCTAGGGGGGCATGCCGGGGGCAGCGGGTGCCTGGGGCCAACAGACAAACATTAGGCCTCTCCAAGGAGCCTGTCTGTCAAATCAGACCCCGCCCCTGGCCACTTGTGGAGCATGCCAGGCTTTCAACAGTAGTAACAGCAAACCTTTGTTTGAGTTTGTAATTTCAAAGGTAGCAAATTATTTGATTCCCTGATGTCAAATTAAAAGTTTCATTAATTATTTTTCTTGTTAGCAGATAATGAGTCATAGTTCTGAATAAGACTTCATTTTTTTATTATCTGTTAATCTTTTGATATGTTATTTGATAATTTATTTAGTTGGTTGAACATTTTATAGACCAAACCATCGAATCATTTGGTCTATAGATTGTTAGAAAATAGTGAAAACTGTTTTCAAGAAGCCCAAGGTGATATATTTAGATTTATTAGTATTTTTTTAATTAATATGTTGATCATTTTTTCCTTTATTTGCATAATCTTTTGGTCAAGGCTGATCACCTGTCCCCAATATGATGGTTAACTTACAGTAATACATAAGATGGAGGAAGACGGCAATTTCTCACTTTCAGATGCTGGAACCAGAGATTGTCTGGCATTTTTCATTGATAGATGATAAACTGACTATCAAAATTGTTGATTAATATAGCAAGCACTAAATGAATCAACTAATCATTTCAACAGTAAGTTAGTTAGTGCAGCGTTGTCACTGAGCAAAAAATAACATGAGTTGTCAGCTGAATCATACTCACATTTCCCCGTCTGTAAAAGTTTTATCAGATCTACACTGATAAATCTTATTTTTGCTAGATACATATACTCTGTGTTGTAGATGCACTTCCCAGATGTGTGGCTGCTGGTGCCTCAGGTCACTTATCATTGGCTGTCACTCTGGAGAAGCTGTCTAGACTACACTGACCAAACTCACCTGACTGCCTTCTTCACAGGCCAGCTATAGCTCTCACTTAACCATCAGTTTTTATCCAGTTATCTCAGATTTCTTCTGTTTATGCAATTCACTCTGCTATGTCTGGCCATATTGTGATTCCTATCTGTTTCCGTCTCTCTCTTCGTCTGCAGCGTTTCTCCTTCTGTCTTTGTTTTTGACGCCGTTTGTCTCCCGTCCCTCGCTCTGTTTCTTCTGATCGCTCTCTCCCCCTTGTTTTTGCTGCCTTCTTTCATTACAGAGATGCAGAGTAGACTTTTCACAGGGTATCAGTCTGAGATCAAGTGTAAGGGCTCCCCCAGGTTGCAGGCAGACAAGGGCTAGGACAGGGTTGACACCAGATCCCAGAGGAATTTGCAGGTTATGTCACTAAAGCACGCAAGGCCAGACGTGTAGCGGTGTGCCTTTACAAATGATTATGTGGATGTTTGATGGAGACTCTTTTTTTTTTCAGTCTCTTAGAAAAATGAATGTCCTAAGGGCTTCTCCGAGCTTTTAAGGCGGTGGATGATTGTGGGTGTTCTGAAAAGACTGCAGACAATGTCTATGTCAGAGACTGGAGTTATGTTTGTGAGCACTCTGTACCCATTAAAAAGAGACAGATGCACCATTTTAGACAGACTTCTTAGCATGGCGTTGGTAAAGGTTTAAGTTTTGACTTTGACTTCCAGACTAAAGCCCCTTTTTCAGACTTCATCATCTGTCTGCTAAAGGAATGGCTTTTTGGGCTTTCAAACATAGGTCTCTGTTACATAAATGTTCTATAATGGCTCTTTTTAAAACAAGACAGGGCTGTTAGGAATAGAGCTGCAGCAGTATTTGTGTTATTTGTGGGATCTGGCACACAAGTAAGACTGGTAGCTCTGCTGAAAAACAGCTGTAAACTGAAGACTTCTTGAAGATTTTTTTTCAGCGATGGATTGTGAATTATTAATCAAATATCTAGCAGTGGAAGACTTAATGACCATAAACACGAGGGACGCTTGATTCTACTTCTCGGTAGTGGATCCCTTAATAACTGTTTCTCATTAATTTTATAGTCTGTTTGGTTAATGATAAAATTTTACTTTTATATAGTTCAACCGCACTAAAGCATCGTTAAAAATTTCAAGATGTTAAGTCGTGACTCCCCTTTAATTCCTGTTGCTTTACATGCACAGACTTTCTATGGGTATTCATAGTGTAAGCGTTTGGCATGAGTGAAAGCTTTAAGTTAAACTGCGTTTTGGGGTTTTTTGAGTGTTGTCCTGGCTCAGTAGTGTGAGGCGCATAAAAATCTCCGGGACAACTTCAAAATTGGATAATTTTGAGTATTTAATTGTGGTTTATTGAGCTAATTTGAGTCATGTCTGCTCTCCTGTGATATATTTATGTACGTATGTGGAGAATCCTTGAATCATGCCAAGGTGGTCTGTCATTTTGTTATGAAGATGAGAACAGATCGTTATTTCCCTGTTATTAGAAAGGTGAGTCATATAGGAAGTAAACAACTTGGTGGACTGACTCTGGTGGAACACTTAAGAGCATTAATGCGATCAAATGCACTTTTCTTTCTTTCCTTTCTTGTCCTTTGATGTTTCTATAAAGTCTTTAAACTAATCCCAGACCCCCCCCCAAAAAAAAAACTGATCCAATCCAATTCTACAGTCACTGAGCATCCACATTCCTGTCGAGGGAACTCGTTTGGTTTAGTGGTCATTGTGTCTGCTTTATTCTACATATAGGTCTTGGCTGGTGCTGCCTGTTGTGTTGCCCGGGAGTCACAGGGCATAAGAGCAAGCCCTCTTTTTGCTAACAGCTGTTCCCCGCCTGCGCTCGGCTCTCCCCTGAAGAGAGACTCTTTTTTTTTTTTTTTTTTTTCCTGAATGGACTTGTTGTTCATTGTGCCCAGTGACTTGTGTTTACTCTCACACAAAGCCAAATCCCTGCCTAATCTGTCCTCCTCTCTCCCTCTCGTGTGAGGTTTAGAAAACACTGCTCAACTCGACGAGGAGAGCTCACAAATAGTTGGTCTGGTGGGGAGACATTATAGTGCTCCTACGCTGGAGCCCGGAAAGGCCGGCAGTGTGTGTGTACAAATGTGTGTATTTGTGTTTGTGTGGAACCGGACCCAACCCGCCATTCACAGCCCACTGACTTAACACGTTACCAGGGCAACCACACCAGTTGGTCTGCTATGCCACATACCAGACAGACACATGTAGGAGAAATTATGGTATGTCTGTAGCCAGGACTAATCCCAACATAACAAGGAGACCATTGGTGCCAAGTTTCAACTATCAAATGTCTCGAGGAAATTGTTAAGAGTTCTTTTAGGTCACACTCTGGAGGCTTAGGTAAAGAAACATTAAAGGTTTATTGCCTAGTCCTTCCATTTTTTAATGCTGTGCTGTCAGCTGGGTTTTTAGAAGAGCTCAGTGTTTATCCATTCAGTCATAAGGACGTGACATTTTTATCACACTTCGGAGAGTAGTTTGGCAAAACACCGAGCACATTTCTCTTTGTTCACTTTCAAATAAGACAATAAAATATGCTCACAGATGTATTGAAAATGACGCCACGGGCTACCTTTAAAAAAACAAAACGTTTTTGATGCACAGCAGTGTATTGAAGTCAGACTGTATATCTTCTGAAAGAAGAAATAAACAAATATTCATATTATATTTTCCCACTACATCCTTCTTGACTGCTTCTTGTAGCTTATGGTGGCTAATATTAGCTAATGTTTGGATAGCTGTGTAACGGACACTGTTATTTTTAATACTTAGCATTGCTAATACTATTAGCACTATCCTGTAACTGGCCGCTGTTCAATTACTAGTCTTGCTTTAAAGTACATAAATAAGTGAATAAATAACACTTTTTTTTCTTACAAATGTTCAATTCATAAGTAATAAAATGTACTCTTTTTGTACACAGACCATCTGTAGATAGCGGGAAAAGCTTAAGTGTTCTGAATACACTTAAGCTTTTCCCGCTATCAGATGGTCTGGTATTACCATTAGCTTATTTTAGCTAATTTTAGCAACATATTGCTGTGTAACTGATATTACTGAGTCACTATACTGACTTTTGACTCCTCTCTCTGTTAGACTACATTTTAGGATGTCCAATAAATATTTTCAGAGGTTTTATCACTTGCGCTCAGAAAGAGGCATATAGTCCCACTTTAAATGGTGAAAAATAACATGCTATAACGGTCTATCTTCAGTCTGTCTGTTGAAAAGAGGCAGCTGGTGGTCAGTCAAATCACATCAGGTTTCATTTGTCTGGCCTAAGTTTGTGTCAAGGCTTTTCAATTCTACATATGACTCCATCTCTACTTATACCTTTGGTTTGGATAGAAAGACTCTTCATGAAGAGCAGGAGGGATCCTTCTTTTACAGACAGACAGAAGTAGCAGTAGCAGCATTAAGATTAAGCCTATAGAGAAACAGGATCACAATAGTAAGTACATAAAAAGTAGAATATAAGACCATGTATACTTGAATAAGTCAATAGTAAGTGTAATTATTCAGTCCACTAACTGACTAATGTGAAATCCTAGTAAAGTTAAATATACAATATAAAATTGAATCAGTTGTTCAAGTAGGGGGAGTTAAAACAGCCACGTGGGTTTTCTGTGAAAGTAGTCTTGGCTTCCGTCCAGCACATTGTTTGAGTGCAGACGTAGGACAAGATCGATTGGGTTGTAAAAATGTCTGCTTCTCTGTCAAATGTTTTGTTTACTTGACCTACTTGTATGTTTCCAGGTGGTGGGTCTCTATCGTCTGTGTGGCTCTGCAGCCGTGAAGAAGGAGCTGCGTGAGGCGTTTGAGAGGGACAGCTACGCCATAGAGCTGTGTGAAAACACGTATCCTGACGTTAATGTCATCACAGGTAAAGTGATCGCCTGTAACAGAGAACATAAGACACCAAACAATGCGCAGGGTCACCCACGCACACTCAGTGTAATTAGTCATTGGTTATTTAATGAGATGGCTTTCCCAGAGAGCGTTGTGTCCCTCTGGTCTCAGGATACTCTGTTTGCCTGCAAAGTACCATCTTACCCAAACTTCATCAGGATATCACATAAAACACAGAAGAGTTGATCCCAGATCAAATCTATGGGTCTTAATTATAGCTACAACTAACATTTTTTAAAATGTAAAATGCCAGAAGTAGGTGAAATGCCTGTCTCAATTTGCCAGAGCCCAAATTAACATTTTGTCATTTATTATGGTAATAATTATACTATTTATGTAGCAACTTTTAGGCAAAAGCTACAGACAGATTCATAGAAGATTAAAGACAATAAATAGATTAAAACAGAATAGAAACATGAGGGAGCAGAATGAACTCAAATCAGGGTAAGCTGTAGGATTTGAGAAGAAGTGGAGGAAGAGTAACTTAATTAAGAGAGGCTTTGTAGGACATCTACATTAATAAAAAAACAAACATGACATTACTCAAATGGAGTCTGGATTCAGTATTGATCCAGTCCCTGCCCCAGTAAACATGTCTGGACTGGTGTGTCCCTTGCAGATAGGTCAGCACATATGTACGTCTAAGAGTGTGTGTGAGTCTGCTGTTTGTAGTAAAAGCATTCCAGCAGTCAGCTAACAGTACAGACTGGTGCCTGAGGGAAGGGCCCACCACACACACACACACACACACACACACACACACACACACACACACACACACACACAATTAGACCATGCTGTACATTCAGGTCATTCTTTCTCCTTCAGGTTTGTGGTTGAGACATGCTCTGCGCTGTCCCTTCTAGGTCACGTTTTAGTCAAGATAGAGGACTTTGTTTTTACAAACATAAAGACCTCAGTCTGGCTATGATGGTAGGGTTAGTGTGGAAGTTGTTTTATTGTCCCGCAAGCAGTGCTGCAAATTTTTATTATTTAAAGCCAGTAATTTAAATGCCACTCAGATCCCTGTGAGTTGCAGCTTCTTTCCGCTCTGTCGCTGTGAAATTAAAAATGGAAACAATGAGTTGCAGCACATCTTACAAAAACAGCCGTGTCATTGGATTGAGTAATTGTTCCAGCGGTGCGACAGATGAGGGGGACGGGGGGGAGGGAAAGTTGTAGAAAATGACATGGTCATGATTTTTGCTTCTCCCACAAAAAGAGGAAGACCATGGAAACCCCTGGGCATTGTAGGAGCTGCTGTTGGTTTTGGGAAGAGGCCCCGTATAGGCGTCGTCCTATCATGCCTGCTTTGATCCACATGCATTTGCATGGCAGGGCAAAGAACACAGTTAACAGTTGAGCGAGTTAGAAAAAAAGGACCAGCACCAGCGTGGATTGTTGGTTTTTGCTCGCTGCCTAAATTTGCTCCACCAAGCGAGTTGCTGTTGCAGATGGGCCTGAGTGAGTGGAAAAGGGCAGAGAGAGGGGGAAGGGACGCTGATGAGGGGTTTATGGTGTGTGCTGCAAAAATGTCCATCTGGGATATAATCATGGGTTTAGTCTTAAAACATACTGTCCTGAAACATTTGATAAAAATGTGCCAGTTTATTGACTTATTTTACTTTTTTTTGCCGGTATTTTGAATGTAATCACCCCATGTTGGCATAAATACCTTCTTATTTGATTTAATGATTTAAGTGATATGTTACATTGTCAACTTCTTTAAAATGTAATGGCTATGTTTGGGATTAAGATGAGTCTCTGCAGTGTGGAGTCAGGCTAGAGGCTAATAAGCGAACAGCAAACGGATGAGCTAAGAGGGCTGGCGTGTCACACGGCTAATTTAAAAGAGGAGGTGAAAGGGATTATCCAGGGTTCAGAGTTCAATCCGACGCTTGCAAAACATGCTCAGTGCGCGGCCCTCCTTTGTTTCAAATCGCAATCCTTTGTTTCACGTCACAATTCAGTCAAAAGAACCAGAAAGGTGATATCAACATGAACATCTTCAGCAGTCTGTGCTCAGTAGTTACTCTTTCTGCTCCGTAATGAATCAGGTTGTTTCTGTGAACGTGTATTAAACTTAATTCAGAGAAGAAGTCTGTTTCTGTAGAGCAGCTGCAATATGTTGGGCGATGTGGAGATGGACCAGAGGGATTCATAACCTCCCTCAGCTCCTGGGTCGTGGGTCGAATTGTTTTTTCATTTTGAAATAAGTTTTTTTACTCTCAACTACTTTGATTCACTCTGTGTCAAACGGGATCAAACATTGAACACCTTTTAAAGTTTCCTGTATTATTCTATAAAAGAGGTAGCTGGTTTTTAAGCTTTTCACAGTAATTCCCTAGTCTTTAATAAATTCAGTGTAGATCAAATGCAAGATCTAGAACATCACATAACCCCTCATAATAACCACAACTTGTTTTACAGTGTTGTTTTTTTCAAGACTTGACAAACAAGATATGACATGTTAACGACTGAGCTTTAGAGACCCTGGTAGGCGGGTTTTGTTACATTTTGACGGAGCCAAGTTAGTTGCTTCCCTCTGTTTTCATCCTTTATGCTAATCTAAGCTCATGCTGGCGGTAGCTTCATATTTACAGCACAGACGTGTGAGTTGTATTGATCTTCTCCTCTAACTATCATTAAACAGATATTCAAAGTTTCATCAGGAATTTGGAGCTTTTAAACAGTTTAGACATGCATTGTGCAAAAAGAGACTTGTTATGAGTATCAAAAAGATCTCTGAAATGTTTGGTAAAATCTGTGTAGATTAAATGCACCTCAAAACAAGGGAGATGTTGAATTGAGGCTTAATTTATTACCACTTGTGGCATTTAATGATGCTTTTCTTCAACCGTTTGTGCTGTCATGTAGTTTTGATGATAAAAAAGGAGCTCAACATATCAGATTATGTTTTTTACCTGGTGAGGAAGGCTTCAGTCAGTAGTTGTAGCAGTGGTAATGGATCAGAGTCAGTAAACTCTTATTAGGCTGTTTGGCTGCTTTGTTTGTGACATTGCAGTGCCTTCAGCCACAGCAGCTCCAAGTGGCATTCAGCATAAGCAGAATAACATGTTTACAACATTACCTTTAAACCACACTTTATCATCCTGGTTGGAGGAAAACAAATGCACAATGAATCAGTGTGAAAAAGTTTGGTTTTAGAGGACACTGTAGCGACCTTTACTAATGATTAAGCCCTCAGTTCAACCTGTTTTGGCCTTTGTGTGGAAACAAAGCTTCTAAAGTGATCCAATGATGGGAATCTGGTTCAGATGTGTCCTCTGTCCTCAGTAAATGAAACCAGTGTGCCCCAAGCCCTGATGGTTGAGAGTTCAGCACAGTTATTGATCCTAGTTTGCGGTCTTTAATTTGCCTTGCCTGACTCGTCTTTTCCGTAGCCTACTTCCCTACTTTGCCCCCCACCCTCGGCAGTACTCCAGTGAAGACATGGAAAGTCATTAACAAGTGCCCCCTTTGTTGCCGAACAAACACAGATGGTATTTGGCTCACGCATGGGGGATTAGCTGAACCCTAGGCCGGCCCGGGGAAGCAGGCAACCACTTTACAAAGAGCTGCAGGCCTGTGTGGGTGTCAGAATATTTCTTAAACTGCAGGTCAGGAATCATCAGGCATATTTCTGAAGGGTCCCCCTGTTAGCATGAGAGTGCCACTGTTTCCAGAGTTAGGAATGGGGTTTGCTCATTTTGTGTTTTGGAGGCTGTGGAAAAGTTTAAGTAACCACAGTGTAAAGCTTTATCGTGCCACCAGACAAGGCAGCAACACACACATCTCCTCTGGCCCCCCCTAGTGCTGTGGGGGCGTGCAGGACAGCAGGGAGGGGGCCGGACGCAGAACAAACCCCCATTTGTTCTCCAGGCGAGGCGTTGACTGCAGCACTGACAAGAGGAGTGACCTTCCGCTTTGTTTGAACAACAGGTCAAAGGTAGAGCCGTGCCCCATTGCATTGTGTGCCTTGTAGTGTTTGGTGGCACATTTGGAGGATTGAAAGTCTGAATTGATTAGAAAAAAAAACATTTACATCAAAATGCTTTTAGCTGCTATCATCCTCAGCTTAATTGCATGTTTTGAAGCATTTTTTTAAGGGGGTTGTTTTTCTTTATTGCTCAGTTGCTTTTGATTGCAGGTCTCAAACAGCCATACATGAGGGTGAAGATAAAAGTATCTCTGCTAGTATAAAGCCAAACCCCAACAGTTTAAATGTGAGAGAGCAGACGCTCAGTGTGTGCTTGTTGTCAGCTTGGCTGTGAAGGAAAGTGAAGCACCTGCAGGGGAAGCACACCTGTTCACCCCTGAGCCCATGACCTTGTGTGTACATGTGTTCATGTTTCACTGAGCATGTGTATGTTTGTGTGTGTGTGTCTGTGTGTGTGTGTGTGTGTGTGTGTGTGGTCCAGGCACCAACAGGGGCTAAAGCACAAAAGTAAAGACTAGCACTGACTCATAGCAAGCTAATGATTTACCTGAATGGCTGTATTTTGCTCACTTCAGACAAACACAAGCTCATGTGCACACGCACGTACACAAGGTTTGACTGGAATTACTGAAATGGAAAGAGCCTAAACATGGCTGTTATGTTGTCATATATTGCATGTGAGGTAGGGCTGCATAATCAAAATATATTTGAAATTGGAGTATGGCCCAGTGCAGAAGCTTGAAGCTGTATTTTTTTGATAAAGAAAACATGTTTGTTTGGTACAGAACCCAACAAATTTCACATCATCACGATTTCATACCACATTGTGCCGCCCAAATGTGAGGCATAAAGACGATTGTTTTTGTTTCATGAAGCAGTGCTAGTGTAAAATAGTCCTGCTGTTGTTGTGTCTAGATGATCTGCCTCACAGCACAAGGAAGGTCAGAGGGTCCACCATGCTTGAGTTTCCATTTTGAGAAAAAAAAAAAAAACCCAGCCAAGTGATACCTCTCTGCATTTTATTTGCACACTGG